TTCATGAAACATCCCTTGATATAGTCTTAGGTCCTTTCTTTTGCGTTGTCTAGATGGACTGCTCCATACTCTGTTCCAGGGTCTTGCTATGTAACCCAGGCTGATCTTAACCTACCTCTGCTACCTGAGTGCTGGGATTACAGGTGTGTGCCAGTGTGCCTGTCCCCTGTCACTCTTCACGTTCTAGTGGAACACTTGTGAAAGTGTTTGAAGGGACAGTGATTGTTAAGTGGAGTGTGTTGTTGGGAGCGGTTTGCGACTCAGCTGCAGTTGCATGAACCAGCACTAAGCATGCTGCCTTCCCTCAGACACAAGCTCCTGTGCTAGTCTGGGTGTTGCATCACTGACTGCTTGCAGCTGGTAACGAGCTATTGCATCAAATGTAACTTTCTTTTTTAATTTCAGAAAATGTTTGAAATGTGGGCTTATCAGGAAACGATTTTATATTTTTCATTTTAAATACCAAGTATGTGTTTTCACTGACATCTGTGAGAGCTGCTACAATGAAAATTACCCTGAGTAGTCACACATAGGTGTGTGGCTGTATTAGCAAAGGCCATCTATGAATTGTGTTGTGAACATAATCAGGGAGTCACAGATAAAACTTGGGTTGCTCTGGGTCAGGCAGGTTTTCCCTTGGTACTTCCCAGGAATCGCTGCAATCAGCACACTTGTGATAGGTTTTTATCTGTTGCTGGGTGAGTTGCTGTGCCTCATCATGTAGTGCACGTTTCTGTCGTCTAGCCAGTTAGGACCTACCAGAGAAAGCCATTAGTGAGTAAGGCACACCCAGACACTCATTGCTGCCTCGAGAATGGTCCCCAGGATCTAGTGAGGTCCCCTGCAGACCAGAGGCCTGCCCTTTCCTCTAGACTGCCCCGTCGCATCATTCCTCCCTTCTTTTTAAAATTTGTATCAGCCTGGATTATAACTTACAGTAATTCAGGTCTGTTAGGAGATAGGATGGTGTCCGGGCTGGAAGCCTTGGCTTTATAATGTTGTCTCCTTGCACTGAGTTGTTTCCACACCCTGCTTTCCTTCTCGTGTCAACCATGTGGATCTCCCCAATGCCTGGGTGATTTATTCGTGTATTTTTCCAAAATGGATTAATTATGCATGTCTCTGGGTGTATAGCATATTGTTGCTGTCTCAGTTCTTGGGCCTTTTAGTTTCTGTGCTTTGTCTGCGTGAGGTTGGAAGAGAGATGCATCTATCAGGATCCTGGAATTCTTCCCATCTTTATCATCTTCCATATGCTATATGTTATAGTTTTACCTAACTCTCTCCCTTTATTTTAGAAATTTTTTGCTCCTTCCTCTGTCTTGATCTTTTTGTAATTTTTGTATATAACAGATGAGTATGGTAGTTGAACACCCAGTTTGGTTTGTGATCTGTTCAAGGTTAGCCTCTACTTGACTTAGTATCCTTGAACCTAACCATTGTGATGTTTGGCCTTTGTCTGGGAATAGTTACTACAAACAGTGTTCCACACTGCCCCCTGCAGGTGTGGTGGAGGTTCTGGGTGCAGGTAACAAACTAAGCTGGAACGATAGCCCAAGGCAGCTTATTCCGTGTGTAGGAGTTTTGTTTATTTTGTTTTCATTTTTCTCTTCTTCCTTATTCATTTGAAAACTTAATAGCAAAAACATTGATAACTCCTTCCACCTAGGCATTTTCTCTAAGTTCTGGCCTGTTGTCCAATGCTGAGTGAAGTTTAGTCAGGTCTTTGTAGATGTCCTGAGGGTGAGAGATAGTATCTGTAGTTGCTTGAGTGTCTCTCCTCGGGTCTGCCCAAGTGATGGCACTTGGTTTGGTTTGTGAACCTGTCGTTGACTCTAGCTGCTCAATAGTCAGCAGCAATTCCTAGTTCCTCTGATTTATAAGTTTGCATCCCCAGAAAGGCCAGGTCCCGTGGACAGACTAGGTAGGACATGTTTACCAGAGATGGATCCCTGGTTAGGCTGGGAGCAGATAAACATGGGTGAACTCCAGTCTGGCTGCACGGGTGTTTGTGCTTCACCATGGATGCAGGGCTCCTAACAGGCTTTCTGCTGCAGCGTGACAAGCTTCTCTGTAGAGATGGTCGCAAAGAGGTAAGCATTGTCAATGTTTTCTCTCTTCCCCAAAGTTTGGGAGCCTCTGGTGGAGCAAGTAACTGGGACTCGTACAGTGATCATTTCACCATTGAAACCTGCAAGGAGACAGACATGCTGAACTACCTCATCGAGTGTTTTGACCGAGTTGGAATAGAGGAAAAAAAAGCGCCAAAGGTACTATGAAGAGGATTTACCAGAACGAAAGCAGAATGGTTATGTTATGTCATGTTATTTCATGTTATGTTATGTTATGTTATGTTATGTTATGTTATGTTATGTTATGTTATGTTATGTATGTGCTAATCTCTGTCCCAAGAGAAGCTGTCGATTAAATAGTCAGTAGTGATAGAGCTGTGGTTAGAGCCAGAGCTCAGACCGAGGCTGAGTGCCTTGGCTCCAGCGTCCTCTCTTTTGTCTGCCCTGTAGATAGGTGTTGTGTGTGTCATGTGTGGTCCTGATAACTGCTGATGGTGTCAGTTTTCCATCACTAGGACAAAATATATAGGAAACTCAAAGGAGGAAAGGTGTATCATGCTCACAGAATTTAAATCCACACTCAGTATGTAATACTGTAGTCAGTTCATGAGCTTGGATTTTCACAATTGCCCAGTGAATCCGAGTAGCCATGTATGAGGAAGTGATGGCCCTCGGAGATGAAGCTGTAATTGTCAGAATTATTAAATAAATAACAAGCTTCAGGACCATGCTAAACCAAGGGAGCATTACCCTCCCCTCACCCCCTTTTTTTTGAGATGAAGTCTCACTATGTAGCCCTGGCAGACCTTGAACTCACAGAGATCCACTTGCCTCTGGCAACTAGAATCAAATCATGTGCCACCACACCTGGCAACATCTCAATACCTACCTTCTCATTCATATTCACTATCCAGATCTTGTCTGACTGCAGACACTGATTGCCCCGTGTTAGTTTCACATTTGTGTGGCCTCCTCTGGGATTCTTGTCCTTAATCTTAGCAAAAATAAAGTCTGAGTAGGTGTGGTGGTGCACACTTACCAGTTCTGCACTCTGGAAATCTGGGACAGGAGATTTGCTGTGAGTTTGAAACCAACCTGGGCTATTGTAGAAAAGACCCTGCCTCAAAGTGTGATATAACGCCCCCCAAAAGGAAATGGGATGGGTGTGCCCAACGTTCTGTTCTGTGTTCCCTCACTAACCTCAGTACAGGTGGCTCAGGTTGGCGACACACTTGCTGTGTGTGTCCTTCGTGGGTCTAGGGAGAGGAAATGAGGGCATTTTCTAGCCTCTCTCCTGACGGTTAACTTCTCCTTCAGATGTGCAGCCAGCCCGCAGTCAGCCAGCTCCTGAGCAACATCCGCTCGCAGTGCATCTCCCACACCGCGCTGGTGCTGCAAGGGTCCCTCACACAGCCCAGGTACGACGGCACTCCATTGTGGTGGCTGGTGTGGGGAGGAGGGCCATCGCTCAGTGGATTTCATCCTCCGGTCGTTTGACGCTCTGTTGGATGACTCTGGGACCTGTACAGGGAATGTGTTCTGATTTAGTCATCAAAGCTCAGGCTGGAGAGATGGTTCAGAGGTCAAGAGCACTGACGACTCTTGCTGAAGACTGGGGTTCAATTCCCAGCATCTACATGGTGAGTCATAGTATCTGTGACCCCAGTTCCAGGAGATAGGATGCCTCCTTCTGGCCTCCGAGGACACTGTATACATACATCTGGTGTGGTACATAGACGAACATACAGGAAAAACACTCATCCATAAGATAAAAATAGATACAACCAAGGGCTGAGCCTTTCCTCCACCTGAATACTGTGGAAATAAAATAATCTTCTAAATAGTACAGAGCATATTTTTTAAAAGGAGTTAGTTATATTTTTAAGAGTTCTGTGTACTTTTTAAAATATGTAGAACCAAGGTAAATAATAATAATTTAATTTCAAACCTAGTATCTGAAGCTAGTGGATGTTTGTGACAAAATGATCATGTTCCGTGTGTCTCCGAATTGGTTTCTGTTACTAGGTGTTAGAGAATAGTGGGGGGACCTAGGTGAGGAGGCACATACCTATAATCCTAGCACGAGGCAGAGGCAAGAGGGTCACCACCAATACAAGGCCAGTCTGGCCTATGCAGTAAGTTCTAGGCCAGCCTGGGTTTCATGGTGAGACCCCTCATAAAAACAAGATAAAACGCCGGGCGGTGGTGGCGCACGCCTTTAATCCCAGCACTCGGGAGGCAGAGGCAGGCGGATCTCTGTGAGTTCGAGGCCAACCTGGACTACCAAGTGAGTCCCAGGAAAGGCGCAAAGCTACACAAAGAAACCCTGTCTCGAAAAACCAAAAAAAAAAAAAAAAACAAGATAAAACAAAATACAGTAGTAGAGAATGATTTGAAAATTGGCTAAAGTGCTATGATTTGTCTGTTTCAGAAAATTCTGGATAGTTTTCAAAGTTAATAAAAGATTGTATATTTTATTCTTTTCAATTTTATTTTTATGTGTATGGGTGTTTTATCTGCTTGTATATCTGCATATCATGTGCATGCCTGGTGGTCACAGCGGCCAGATGAAGGCATTGGATCCCTCTGGAACTGGCATTAGAGACAGTTGTGAGCTGACATGTGGGTCCTGGGAATTGAACCCAGGTCCTTTGGAAGAGCAGCCAGTGCTCTTAAGTACTGACATCGTATCCCTCCAGCCCTGTGTTTCATGGAAAAGTGAAAAATTGCAGTTTTTTCATTCTGGTTGTTCCCTGTACTATATGTTTTTTTAATATTCTCAAAATGAAGAAAAATTAGGCTGTATGGTGCCACATGCTTATGATCCTAGAATTTTGGAGGTTGAGGTTGAAGGAGATTATTGATAATCTTTTTTCCTCAATGTGGATGAGGCATAAACAAATAAATAAACAATAATTCTTTTTTATTATTTAAAGGAGTTTTAGATTTGCTTATGTGTATGTGCGTCATGTGCTTCCAGTACTATTGGAGGTCAGAAGAAGGTGTTGGATCTCCTGGAACTAGTTAAAAACAGTTGTGAGCTGCCACATGGGTGCTAGGACTCAAACCAGACCTTTTACAAGAGCTCTTAACTACTGAGCCATCTCTCCAATCACCTTAGTGCATTTTTAGATGCATTTATGATTTCTTTTCCACTGCTGAGGACCCAGCCTGGGGCTTTGCACATGGCAGACAATGCTTAGTCCCAGGCCTGCTGCTTCCCTTTCAAAGAACTCCGCAAAGAAAGAGTTGTTGTTTTGGTAATTTCTTCTGGTGTCACCTTGTTAGAAAAGTCATGTTTACGTGACGGGGCAGACTGTGTGGCCATGACATTCTGCTGGCTTCTCTCACAGGCCTTGCTTTTCCTGGGTCTGCAGGTCCTTGCAGCAGCCGTCCTTCCTTGTGCCGTATATGCTGTGCAGGAATCTCCCGTACGGCTTCATTCAAGAACTGGTGAGGACCACTCACCAGGATGAAGAAGTGTTCAAGCAGGTACAGCGGGCCAAGCAATACTCCAGCTTTTAGCTAAGCGCATCTATGCTGATGTCCAGATACAACATGTCATGGAGTAGGGGAGGGACTCATGAAGCTCCACCCCTTTCATGCAGTTAGTGGTGGCTGGAGAATGGAAAGATGTTTTCTTGAGTGATATAGCCACTGGTATAGGTACCCATGCTCCTATGAACAGCCTCTCACCCACGCTTCTGCAGGTAGCCCCTAAGTAAATTTACGGATCATAAGAAAGAAAGAGTGTGGGGAGGGAGGGAAGGAGGGCATGAAAATAGTGAAGGGACTAGAGGATAAATGATAATGAGGAGGAGACATGGGAGTGTAATGGGGTGAGTACAATAAATGCATTTTTTATTTTATATATATATATAAATGAAAATGCCATATTGAAATCCATGCATAATTATATATGCTAAAAAGGAAACAAATAAGAACATCTTATGTGGGAAATGCCTCTTCCTAGATCTCACTATGTATGTTACATTTGGCACAATATCCTTTCCTTTGTTTTATAGCTAGCATGTTCGTAACTCTCAATTTTAAGACCTTTGGATTCTTAAATATTTGTAAAAGCACATTCCAGGTCACATCAGGTGTAGTGGTGAATGCCTTTAATCCCAGCACTCACTGGTCAGGCAGGTAAATCTCAATGGGTTAGAAACCAGCCTGGTCTGTATAGTAAGTTCCAGGCCAGCCAGGGCTACATAGTGAGACCTCATCTGAATGGGGGGAAAAAACAAGGAAAGAGCAATTCAGGACTCAAAAAGAACAATTCTTGGCTGTTTGGTCACAGTGGGCTTTAGTGATGTATTGTGGAGTCGGACTGCAGGAACAATAAAGGCAGCATCGAGAGCTCTCTATCCTCAGAAAGATAATGAACTCTGGGGTGGGAGTGGAGGGGATTGTCGTGCTGGGTGATGGTGGCTCACGCCTTTAATCCCTGCACTCTGGGAGGCAGAGGCAGGTGGATCTCTGTGAGTTCGAGGCCAGCCTGGGCTACAGAGTGAGATCCAGGAAAGGCTCAAAGCTACACAGAGAAACCCTGTCTTGAAAAAACCAAAACCAAAAATAAAATAAAAAATAATAAAAAAAAAAGAATTGTCGCAGGAGGTTTAAGTGAAGCAGCTTTAGGTATGGTCAGCATTAAGTAATACTTCTCCTTTTTCATAAAAGCAAACATTTGAAAAACCCAGAGTAGTTTTAAAATCAGGCCCAAAATCACCTCAGAAGGACATGTGATGCTTATTTTATTGACAATAAGTTATGCAGAGGCCACAAAGTGACCTTTGGTGGTTTTGTCAAGGAGGTGGCGTGAACTCCGTGGTAGCTTACAGCACAGGTAGGTCTTCCTGGCACCTTCCTGCACTAGCTGGCATGAAGGCGTTGTCGTCTTTCCGGGGTTACCGTGAGTTTTGTCTGGAGGGAACAGCTGCCGACTGCAGCAGGCCAAGTCCCACTTCTCACTGTCAAGCCGGAGGACAGGACTTGTAAGTCCTCGACTGGGCTTGCCACTTCCTTTTAATGCTTGGGTGATGCTTCCAAATGAAGAAAGAGACAAATAGCAGCTTAAATGTGAGACTGAAGATGAAGAGCTGAAGCTTTTATCTACACTAGGAGGTATTTACTCGAAAAATAGAAGAGTTATTTGCAGTGTACAGGTCACAAAAATAATATGACTCCTAGGCTGGTGAGCTGTTTCAGTGGATAAAAGTGCTTGCTGCACAGTTGGTCCCTGAACCCCCCAAAAGGAGGATAGTACTGACTCCTGAAAGTGCCCTCTGGCCTCCACGTTTAGTGTGCACACCCACCCACTTACACATTATACAGACACAATAATATAAATTAAAAAAAAATACACTCCTTGATGGTGGGAAACATTTTATGCTTATTCATATCTTGCCTGTTTGTTATCAATTAAACTCTTAATTGCAGAAAGAGACAACTCTACTAAAAAGAGTAAAGCTTAAAGTAGTCTTAATGTATTTAAAGGTCATTCAGATGAACAGTTAATGGCATTTATCCATGGGGTTCTAGAACTTGTCTTGCCTTTTCCTCTGGGTTGCAGTTTTGGCATCTCCTGCCCCCATGCTGACTGTTACTCCCCGTTTTCAGCTAGCTTATGAAAAGAAAGCACGTTACTTCTACCCTGATAACTCCAGTTACAGGAACCAGGGTGATCTCTGCAAAGCTGTTTTGATAGCACAGAATGCTTCTCAGGCACATCGAGGGCCCTTTTTCATCCCGTGTCTTCTCTTCTGCTCTGAGTTCTGTGTGATGGATGAACTCAGTGGCCGGAGGGCTTGGTCCTGGTTTTCTAGTGGCTTCGTATTATGCTCCCCTTCCAGCTTGTGGTTCAGATTGCCAGCTGCTGTGGACTACGCTTTCCCTTGATGTTGTTAGTCTTGGATTCTAGCCCGCTCCTAATCGTGTGGCTCCGTGACAGGCACTGTGACGTGTGCAGTGTACTGTGCTGAGCAGGGCTTGCACACCGTCACCATGTCAGTGCAGGCCTTGTATGTTTTGTGCCCTTCGGTTTCCAGGTCAGGTGACTGTATTAATTCCACTGTGTATGGAGGTTAGGGGTTCTTACTAGTCATTTAGTTTTCAGTCTGAACATTCATCATCTGTCCCTTTGCTCTCAATTCAGCTGAATGTAACAAACAGAGCAAAACCATTTTTTAAGTGTTGGTGGATTTGAGGAGAAGGTGGAACACTTAGGTACTTTCCTGACAGATCATTAGTGTGTGTTAATCAGCAACTTGGGGAGGACAATGGGGTGGTGGTGAGGTGTTCGGGAGTCCAAAGTGAGGCGGGGAGCCCTCACAGCAGTCCTCCATGTGCTGGCTGCTGTCGGATGTCAGAGTCCCACTGGAGTGTCAGTGTTCATCAACATCCTTTGCTGGAAAGTTGAGCTTCGTTACTTTATGCTTGGTCTGGCTGATGGACAGGTCAACACTCAAGAATTCTACAGTCCTTGATCTGGAGAAAAATAAAAATTAAAATTAAAAAAGAAAAGACAAGCATTTCTCCTTTGGGGAAGAGTAGGAGTGTCTGGACCTGCAGACCCAGTACCTCGTGTGACATGCTTGCCTACTTCATTTTCCTTAAACCTAATGTTGTGCTTTTCTTTTTATTACAGATCTTTATCCCTATTCTACAAGGCCTGGCTCTTGCTGCCAAAGAGTGCTCCCTCGATAGTGACTACTTTAAATATCCCCTCATGGTAAAGTCTTTTTCCTTTTCTTTAAGAGATATTTAAGTAGATATTTTTCTTTTAAATCTATGTTCAATGTTGTTTTCAAGTGTTTTAGTTTTTTTGAGACAGTCTCATGTCTTCCAGGCTGAAGATGACCCTTAATTCTGATCTCACTGCTTCCACCTTTCACGTGCTGTGCTTACAGCTATAGATTATTCCGACTTTAACTGTAAATCCTGAGACCCTTTTGTAGATTGGACAGAGTGCACTTGTGTCCTGAGCTGCCTGAGTGCATTGTAGCCATCCGTCCTCCACCCTGCCAGTCCTAGACGGCAGCGAGGAAGGTTCCAATGCGAAAGAGCTTTGCCATCCTGGTAGCTAGTACGAAGGATGACCATTGGCGGGCAATCCCAGCAGATTTTCAGAGGAGCAGACAAACCATACTTGGGATTTAAAAAAGAAATATTTAAAAGGCTGGCTGCTCAGTTAAAATGCTTGCTGGGTAAACCTTACATCTGGAATCCATGTAAGGATGAGGGAGAGAACCAACTCCATATGTTCTCCTCTGACTTGCACATACATGCTGCACATCCCCACCCTCCCACCCCCATACACACACAGTAATGACAAATGGAAAATGATAGCAACACATTGGGGCTGGAGAGGTGGCTCAGCAGTTACCAGTGTTTGCTACTCTTGTACATAACCGGAGCTTGGTTTGCAGAACTGCCTGTAACTCCAGCGCCAAGAGATTTGCCCTCTTCTGGCCTGCACAAGCATCTGCACTCAGGAAGTATATACACATGTACACATTAATGAAAATTTAAAAATGAAATCATTTTAATACCTTCCTGTGTGACACAGGTTGACCTTGTACTCATGAACCTCTTTCAGCCTCCAGAGTGCTTAGATTACAGCAGTGCGCTTTCATGCCCAGCTGGGACGAAATATTTTTTATTGAGCCAGAGATGGCTCAGCAGCTTAAAACACTTGGACAAGCCTGTGACCTGAGTTTGCTTCCTGTGAATCCATACAAAAACCCAGATGTGGCGGCTTTTTTTTTTTTTCCCTTCCGAGACAGGGTTTCTCTGTGTAGCTTTGGTGCCTGTCCTGGATCTTGCTCTGTAGACCAGGCTGGCCTCGAACTCACAGAGATCCTCCTGGCTCTGCCTCCCAAGTGCTGGGATTAAAGGCGTGTGCTACCACCACCCGGCTCCAGGTATCCCCTTTTGTTACAGGATTGTAATGGGAAAAATGCCAAACTATGAAACTCATTTACTCTGTGTATATTTACAACTTTGTATAAATTGAGGCCATAGAGAAATTGAAACTTTATGTTTGTTCCTTATACTCATTCTATTGATTTGATTCTATTGTGCCATTGACTCATTGGTGTCTGGGAATTCGCCTTGTACTTAGTAACAGATCGCAGAGCTCAGGAAATAAGCTCTCTTCCTGTAGAGTAGTGATTCTCCGCCTTCCTAACTCTGTGATCTTTTAACACATTGGTTCTCAGCCTTCCTAATGCTGTGTGACCTTTAACACTGTGATTCTCAGCCTCCTTAATTCTGTGACCTTTTAACACAGTGGTTCTCAACCTTCCTAATTCTGTGACCCTTAACACAATGGTTCTCAGCCTTCCTAATTCTGTGACCTTTAACACAGTGGTTCTCAGCCTTCCTAATGCTGAGACCCTTAACACAGTGGTTCTCAGCCTTCCTAATGCTGAGACCCTT